CGGGCTGGGGAAAACATAGAATAAAACACAAAGAGAGACGAGGGCTCATAAATACACAGAGGGGCACACAGGGGGTGAGAGTCACGAAGGGAAAACACATAGGGAACAACATTACAGATCAACCCAGGAAGCATGGCCTAAATAAGGAACAAAATACAAAAATACAAGGAACTGAGAATACTGGGCCCACATGGCCCAGGACCATGACACTCATATGTAGAGGCAGGGTGTGTAGATGTGTGGCTGGAGGATGGAGAACAGCCACATGCAGGCCTGATGGGTGTGGCCCTGCAGGAGGACTGGCCACACCTGAAGTTCCTGCCACACACCTGTTGGTGATCAGGGCTCGTCGGGGGAGCTACTTGGGAGAGTGTTGGAGCTCCCACCGGCGCGGGATCATTAAGCTAAGACTCCAAGTCAGTGTGTAGCAGTAGGAAGTGCGGATCGTGTGTGTGCGCGCGGGTTTAGTGTTTAACAGCTGCTTCTGTATTGTCCTGCAGGTGGAACGAGGGACCAGATGGGCAGCACGCACAGGGTGTGCAGAAACACAACTGCCGGGAGCACGAGCACGGACGTCGGAGGGGAACACACATATGGGAGTCTAGGGAGCAAAGGGGATTTATTGGGCATCTGTTACCTTCACTGTAAATAAAGTGCACTGTTTGCATCGCAGAGTCTGCGTTTTGGGTCCTCATTCCCCCATAGCCCCACGGTCTGCCAGCCAGACCGTGACAGAATGATCCCGCCAACCACCATGGAAACAGCAAACTCAGGAGTTGCCACAGAGGAGAGATCGTTCGCACAGCTATGGGATTACTGCCGGAGCGTAATCCAGGCTGTAGACCCACACAAGAGACATATACAGGTAGTGTTCTTTGACGATTATCATCCACTACCTTCACCATGAACATTTTGGACATTAACAAACTTGGGCAATTGGTCACTAGTTTAAGGGAGAGCTCGAGTTTTGAATTATTTGGCTTGGGTTGCCCGAGCAAGGACAGTTCGGCTGCTCTCCTAGAGACTCTAGCCGCTTGGTTTTTCACGCGTTGGCGGAGGGCTTTCCCGTCGATGCTTGCGGCACAATTGTTTGACCCTCCGTTACAGAAGGGATGTCGCCTTCGCCATCATCACCCCATTACACCTCAACCCACTCCTGCGGTTTCAGCCCGGTCAGCTGGCGACGGTCCAACAGCACACAGTACCGCAGTGAGTAAATCAGACTCAATTGTTTCAATAAACCCTGTCATTGGAAATCAAAACACAAATGAACAGCAGATTTCCATGCACACGGCCCCGCCTTCACGGAGGAGAAGGCGTCCTCGCAAGCCGCGTTCAGCCTCGTCTACACTCACTCCTGTGCTTGTTGAAGACTCAGGACCAGCAGCTCTGGACGCCACAGTGAGTAAAATGGACTCTGCCGGTGTTGTAAATTCCCTCCCTGTGAACATGGAAATAGAGACTATAGAGACTAGTTGGAATGCTACTACGCAAGTAACCCCGGCGGAAGGGGCTACATGAATAGGATGATGGACCTATGGATTCTTCGATACCCAACATCCACAATGAC